TACAATAGACGAATTGATCGCAATGAACAAAGAGAGGAATAGAATAAAGAAAAACATTATTGCTGAAAGGAGGTGATAAATTTGGTGTTGGGTGTGGAAAGATCGAACTCCCTGGAGTGTAGAATGAATAGAAGGAAAAGAATTCTTACCCTCCTTAGTTCGACGGATACCCCGCTTTTATAAGCGAACTCCTATTCCAGTTCCGAGAATCAGCGTGGTTAGCCGAAGCAGGAGTTCGGTCCGGCTTTAACCGAACCCGGCACTAACCGTGGAAGGAGACAAGGACACCGAGTTTACCTGGTCTGAGGGATAGGAGCATGCGTTCGAAGTCCTGAAAGAGGCCTTCCATCCGCCCCCGTACTAGCCCACTTTGATGCCGAGCTAGCTACCAAGATTGAGACCGATGCCTCCAACTTCGCTAAATCTAGCATACCGTCCCAATTCCACCGAGATGACAACAAGTGGTATCCAGGAGTCTTTTACTCCAAAATGATGTCACAAGCCGAACGGAATTATGACGTTCACGACAAGGAGTTAGGTGCCATTGTGTCATGCTTCAACGAGCGAAGTCTCCCAGGAGAAACCTCCAGCCGGAGGGAAGCCTCCAGCCGGAGGGAAACCCCCGGTGGAGAAAAAACCAGAACCCAGAACCAGCGGGTAATGGTGGACAAAATGGAATAGTCCCCCCGGTTGGTGGCGATCCCAACCCGGGAGGGGACTCAGATAGTTCAGATTCGGAGCCTGAGTATGGAGATAGGAGAGGATGGCGGAGATACCTCAGGAAGATGCTGGAGAAGCAGCAGACAGAGCTCCTGGCCTCCATGACACAGTTCATGAGACCTCCGGCCCCCTCACACCCCTCCGCTGCCTCCAGGGCCCGAGAACCAAAGGCACACCCTCAGGCCAAGTTCAATGGCAAAGCAAACAATGTGGAGACCTTCATCAGGCAATGTGAGAATGTCTTCTCCATTGAAAGCCAGTTCTTTACCTACGAAGAGGTTAGGATCCGATATGCTGGTAACCTGATGGAAGGAGAAGCCCCAGCCAACTGGTATGAGGCTTACCACAGCTCCATTGACCAAGCTTCTGCCAACCGGATAGCTGGGATGTCTGTGGTGTTAGATGAGAAATGGAAGTGCTGGGATTCCTTTGTGGATGCTCTCAGAGCAGCCTTTGGCGAAGCTATCTCTAGGGATGATGCGGCAGCCCAATGGAAGGCCCTTACCCTCACAGCCAAGGGTCAGTTAGTGGATGATAAGATCCTCAGTTCCCATATTTCCGAACCTAGGCATGAGTTGGGCTCGCTTTACCTCCGTTACACCTCTGGGTTTCCTCCAGCCTGGGTTCGCCAAGGGGTTGTCCCCGGAATCCCATAGAGGTACACCACCCCCGGAGTCACCTTCTGCGTTCCTACAAAGATACGGTCACGGTCGTCACCAACCAGTAAAAAAAAAAAAAAAAGGGGGGGGCGCTGAAACCGAGATAAGCTCGATGGGCGGCCAACCTCGCGGAGTTTGACTTCAAAGTTGTATACCGCCCTGGAAAACTAAAAACGCCAAACCAGACATCTTGTCGCGGCGTTGGGACCACGCCCTTAAAGAGGGGGGTAAGGCTCATCAAGACCCTGAAATTCTTGTTTAAGCCAGGACAACTTATAATGGGTTCTGTCCAACACCCGATCGTTATGATCAACTCAGCATGTGCAAGATCAGCCCAAATCTGCAAACTCACACCGGTGCTCCTGGATGAAATCTGGGCTCAAGCAGCCTTAGATCCAGAGTACCTTACTTTGAAAAAAGCCATTGAGAACACCTCTGGGAATCTGGTGAACCGATACCTGACTTTAAAGGACGGACAGGTCTTCTATAAGGAAAGGTGGTACATTCCAAATCATCGGGAACTGAAGCTCAAGATCCTGAGCGCCCTACATGATTCGAAGACTGCTGGTCACTTTGGACAATTCAAAACGGCAGAACGCCTTCGGGCACTGTCCTTTGCCAAAAGATGGACAACGATGTGGAAGAATACGTTCAGAGTTGCGATACATGTCAACGCGCTAAAGCCTCAAACACACAAGAAGAAAGGGATGTTGCAACCTTTAGAGGTCCTCTCTATTCCTTGGAGTTCCATTTCAATGGACTTTATCACCAAAGCAACCATCGAAGAACTTGCTCAAATCTTCCTCCGGGAGATATGGCGACTGCATGGACTTCCTGAGGAGATTATCTCCGATCAGGACTCTAGATTCGAAACATATCGTCCTCAAACTGACGGGCAAACTGAGAGAGTCAACCAAACGCTAGAACAGTATCTCAAAAAACTATTGCTTCTGTCAGCGGGACGATTGGGCAGAGTTACTCCCGCTTGCCAAGTACGCCTACAACACGGCCACCCAAGAGTCAACCAAAGCATCGCCATTCTACGCGAACTATAGGTTTCAACCAGATTCCACTTGGCCCTCACTTAAACGGAAACTAGACAACTTCGACGCGTCCAGCGCGGCACAAGCACAGCAGAAAAAATGGTATGATCAGAAACAGATGAGTGCTCCAGAACTGAAGGTTAGGGACGAGGTGATGCTGGACCGATGCAACATCTTAACCAAGTGACCCTCAAATAAGCTAGACCACCAAAAAAAAAAATGGGTCCCTTTGAGGTTGTCGGGAAACTTGGAGTCGCGTCCTACAGGCTGAATCTACCCACTCAGTGGAACATTCATGATATCTTCCATATATCTCTGCTGGACCCTCAACGAGCTATACTGCTTCCACCTCCGGATGAGGTTCAAGGGGAAGGCAGTTACGTTCTCAAGAAAATAGCCGATAGCCAATGACAGCAGGCTGGTCGTGGGAAGAAGTTCGTGCAATATCGGATTACCTGGGAGGGTTATCTCTCAGAAGACTCTTGGGAACCGTACAAATTGTTGTAAGGAATGGCAGACGAGCCACTCCGAGAGTTCCATGCGAAGTATCCCCGAAAATCATGGGACGCATGGTAATACAGGAAAGTGCGGGAAACCGAGACGACGGAGTGTTCTGGGATAAGCGTGGAGAAAACGAGTCTCCCCTTGTTAGGTCACACGTTTCACTTGAGGTTTCCTTTGTCAATAGAAATGGATGCAAAAAATAGAGTGTAACGGAGCCATTTCAACTGTCTGGTGTATGAGTACACACAGGGCCCGGTTACATGCTGAGAGTTATTGATAGAAGCCAGTTGCACAGTGACATGCAAGTACCGGCAGTGTGGTTAGCTACCAGCTGTCAGAGTAACTACATTCTGAGCGCTAGGAAGAGGATCTATTCATGGGAGCAATGATTGACGAGTCTATGCCTCGCCAATGATTAGAAGGCCAGCCAGAGTGAAGCTCTGAGTGCTCGGCGATCCTCTACATCCTCTGAGCATGATAAGTCCGCCGGTAGTGGCAGGGACTATGCCTGGGAAAGTCTACAATAAGTGAAGAGCTCTACAGCAATGATTAAGCTTACGCCTGAGCGGTAGCTCATTCATGCAGGTCCCGGTTGTGCGACAATCAAGACTGCAGGTGTTACAAAGGCTTTGACTAAGGGTGGTTGCCTTCGGAACCGGAAGCACCCGCTAACGCTTAGAGAGAAGCGGGGTAGCGGTGGTATTGCTTCCCTTCCGCTAGAAGGGATCACCAGAACTTAGTAAGGGAGTAGGAGCAGGGAATGGAATCCTTTGGAGTATAAGTACTCAGGATCCTTCCCGCCCAACTATCCGATTTCCTGATTTCTATCTTGCACGGCCAAATCCTTTCTCTCGGATTCTAGCGATACGAGGAAAGGCTGTCCCCGTTACATTGAGTTTGTATGGAATGATTATTAGAGCTACATTTTCTTGTATGCTCATAACGTACCATACCAAAAACCCTAGGTTAGACTCGGGACGAGTCTACCGGAGGGAGGAGTAGTGTAACAGGGCCACAGTAGGGCTGTTACAAAAATACCTGTTCTACCAGTCAAGCCATACGGCCCTAGGTTAACCGCAGCTGGTTCTTCATCGATGGGTGAAGAGAAGGGCAGATGCGCCCCTACCTCTATTGGTATAGAGGGTAGAGATCCTGGCGAGCAAGAAGTCTTACAAGTCAAGCTAGACGACTGGACCAAAACTAGAGCAGCAGGACGAGCAGACCAAATAAGGAAGGGTAACCCCAAACATAAGTTACCCTACCTTGGCATTCAACCTTTGAGGCGCAATAACTTTGCAGCCGATGCCCGGAAAATATGCTTTACCACGTCAGAAAGGATCCTGGCGATGCTCCGGTCCATTTGGGGTGGTTGAATGAACGCATTGCGGAGTTGAGGAAACACTGCAAAATAAACACGTTTTAGACCCCCAAAAATAACCCCCGGAGCGTCGAACCGCCGGAACCCTCCTGTTTCAGCCCGGTGCATCTTTGGGGGGAGTAAGAGTGCGACCCAAACTACCAAAGCAAACCTTTGCTTTAAAAACACCCAAATCTATTCTAAATACTCTGAATAAGCAATTGCTGTCTGGTCGGCTGTTTCCTCTAGTTCCTAGGATCCCGACCCTTTCTTGGCAAGGATTGCGAGATTTGACTCGGACGAAAATTCGTCCGCGGTGTGGTAGCAACTCTTCTCCTCCCCCCTGATAGAAAATAGGTGGTGCCCCCAGATTATTTGAAAGGCGGACGGCCAGTGAAAAAAGGAAAGAGGTAATGAAGGAAGGGGCGCCGAACTTCCATAAAGGAACTCGGTTGCCCCAGCTTGGTTTCGGGGGGATCAGCGAGTCTTTACCAGCGAGGAGCCCCCTTAAAGTTATTAAGTTTCTAGACTACAAATAACGATCAAACAAATGAAACTCTATCTTTCCATCGAACGAGCCGAAAGGATAGCTTGTCGAATTCCTTTCTGCCTATCTACCTGATCGAAGTCACGGTCGCGCCCTTTCAAGGCACCCCCGTTACAGAAGTATTTAGGGGAGATCGCGATCGAGAAAGACTACACCTATTCAAGCAACAGATGAGGATCAAGCTATTGGGAAATGCCGACCGCTTTCCCACACTACAGTCTAAGTTATCCTATGCATTCAGCCGATTGGAGGGTGTTGCCGCCAATCAGTTCTTACAATATGTCGGAGAAGAAGGTATCGCTTTGCCTTCCATGTTACGGTTTTATGAAATCTTGGATACTGCTTTCGGGGATCCTGATCGAATGCGTACGGCTAGGAGGAATCTTAGGAACATCCGTCAACGAAACCGAACCTTTGCCGATTACTTCGCCGAATTTCAACGGTATGCTGCCGAGTCAGGGATGGATGAAGTCTCTAGGATTGAGGCTTTGATGGAAGGCATTAATGCGGAACTCGATGAATCAATGATACACCATGAAACTCCTACGACGGTAGATGCATGTGCGTGTAACGGAGCCATTCCAACTGTCTGGTGTATGAGTACACACAGGGCCCGGTTACATGCTGAGAGTTATTGTTAGAAGCCAGTTGCACAGTGACATGCAAGTACCGGCAGTGTGGTTAGCTACCAACTGTCAGAGTAACTACATTCTGAGCGCTAGGAAGAGGATCTACTCATGGGAGCAATGACTGACGAGTCTGTGCCTCGCCAATGATTAGAAGGCTAGCCAGAGTGAAGCTCTGAGTGCTCAGCGATCCTCCACATCCTCTGAGCATTGGAAGTCCGCCAGCAGTGGAAGAGACTATGCCTGGGAAGTCTACAATAAGCGGAAGCTCTACTGCAATGATTAAGCTTACACCTGAGCGGCAGCTCATTCATGCAGGCCCCTAGTTGTGTGGCAACAAAGGCTGCAGGTGTTACAAAGGCTTTGACTAAGGGTGGTTGCCTTCGGAATCAGAAGCACTCGCTGACGCTTAGAGAGAAGCGGGGTAGCGATGGTATTGCTTCCCTTCCACTAGGAGGCAGCACCGGAACTTAGTAAGGAAGTAGGAGCAGAGAATAGAATCCTTTGGAGTATAAGTACTCAGGATCATTCCCGCCCAACTGACCTGATCCTCATCTTCGAGTAGACCATTATCGGTAGCAGAGCCCTTAAAGATTATTGAGTTCTAGCGATAGTATCTTTGAATAAATCTGCACCTGATTTCTATCTTGCACGGCCGCATCTATTCTATTGGATTCTAGCGATACATAGATAGGCTGCCCCCGTTACAAGCAGAGCCCTTAAAGATTATTGAGTTCTAAGCGATAGTATCTTTGAATAAATCTGCACCTGATTTCTATCTTGCACGGCCGCATCTATTCTATTGGATTCTAGCGATACATAGATAGTCCGCCCCCGTTACAGTGCGACACTCTTGCAACGGTTGGATAATCGACGACGAGCGGCAGAAGCTAAGCGAGGAAATAAAAAGCCTTGGAATGCTACTGCTGCTCCGATCTCTCGCCCCCCACCGGGGAATCGTGCCCCCATTCCTCGTGCTGCCGCCCCAGCTGTCAACGCACCTGCCCCTGAGAACCATCCCTCGTTCCGCCCGGGAGGTGATGTACCGATGGATCTGTCTGGGGGACGTCGTCGCCCCAACCCTACCGAAAGAAATGCCCGCTTAGCTGAGGGCCGATGTTTCTATTGCGGAGGGGTCGGCCACATGGTTAGAGACTGCCCCCAAGCAAGGGCAACTGGAAATCAACCAAGGAGACCGGTGATGAGGGGAGCGGCGTTGAGAGTAGAGGAAAATGATGGAAGCGATAACGAGTCGGCAAAAGATTTGTCCCTGCACTAAGTGGCTTAGCCCAGGGACCATTTGAGGATTTTTCTGAAATGCATATTTCTGGTTTTTCGGTATCAGAGGAGGAAATGGATGGGAACCAATTTGTAGTAACTTGTTCAATCTCACAGAATAAAAATACTTTCGTACCCACCTACGCCCTTATTGATACCGGAGCATCAGGATATGCTTTCATCGATGAATCTTTTGCACGCCACAACAATCTCACCATGACTCCCCTCAAAATACCGCGCCACGTAGACGTTATAGACGGCAGACCGATCAAGTCAGGAAAGATTACCCATATTATCGATGTCTCGCTAGACATTCATGGCCATCGAGAGACTGCATCATGTTTTGTGACAAAGTTGGGACACTATCCGATTGTGATGGGGATACCTTGGATGCGACGTCATGACGTTACCATTCGGCCAAAGGAAAATTTACTTATCTTCGACTCTCAAAACTGCTGTCAAAATTGCTCGCTTAGTGGAACCACAGTTACGGTTCATGGCATATCAATTCCTCTACCGGAAACCCATACCGTTACCGTTTCGGCGACCGGGGAACCTACCATCGATATCAACCAACTAATACCAAAGGAGTTCCATCACTATATACATATGTTTGAAGAATATGATGCTTCTGCACTTCCGCCACATCGACCGTTCCATGATATGAAAATAGTATTAGAGGAAGGCAAGCAACCGCCATGGGGACCAATATATGCCCTATCTCAAGTTGAATTGAAGGCACTCTGGGAGTACCTTCAAGAGAACCTACCTAAGGGAATCATCCAACATAGTGAATCGCCAGCAGGAGCACCTATATTATTCGTCAAGAAAGCCGATGGAACTCTTCGTTTATGTGTCGACTATCGAGGTCTTAATGCAATTACGATTAAGAATCGTTATCCATTGCCATTATTGAAGGAAACCTTAGCCAAATTGTCAAGAGCGAAATATTACACTAAATTGGATTTACGTTGGGGTTACAACCAGATCAGGATAGCGGAAGGAGATGAGTGGAAAACGGCGTTCCAGACTCGATATGGACATTTTGAATACACGGTAATGCCTTTTGGATTAGCGAATGCTCCCGCTACATTTCAACACTGGATCAATGATATCCTGCGCCCCTACCTCGATCAATTTGTAACGGCCTATCTAGATGATATTCTCATCTACTCCGAATCCCTTGCAGAGCACAAAGACCATATTCAAAAGGTTTTAAAGGTACTTGATGAGAATCATGTTCATCTCAAACCCGAAAAATGCGAATTTATGGTTCAAGAAACGAAATACCTCGGCCTAATCCTCACCCCAAATGGTAACAGAATGGATCCCAAGAAAGTTATTGATGTTCTAGAATGGTCTATACCGACGAATCTTCATGATGTTCAAGTATTTTTGGGGTTTGCGAATTTTTATCGACGGTTTATTTTAGGATATTCAAAGATTGTCGCCCCACTTACAGCTCTAACGAAGAAAAACGTTAAATTCGAATGGACGGATGAAAGGGAGAAAGCATTTCAAACCTTGAAAAAGATGTTTACAATGGCACCTATACTAGTTCATTTTGATCCAGAACGAAAGATAGTAGTGGAAACCGATGCATCCGATTATGTTTCAGCAGGAATTCTCTCACAACGCGATGATGAAGGAATTCTACATCCAGTCGCTTTCTTTTCTAAGAAACATTCCCCTGCGGAATGTAACTATGAAATCTATGATAAGGAACTCCTAGCAATCGTACGATGTTTCGAAGAATGGCGGCATCATCTGGAAGGAGCACAATTCCCTATTGAAGTTCTTAGCGATCACCGGAATCTAGAATATTTTATGACAACAAAATTGCTAAACCGTCGACAAGCTCGTTGGTCTGAATTCCTTTCACGTTTTGATTTTGTTATACAATTCCGACCAGGAAAACAAGGAGCGAAACCGGATGCATTAACTAGAAGGTCAGGTGACCTACCTAAAGAGGGGGATGAACGGTTGACACATCAGAGCCAAGTGGTTCTGAAACGAAAGAATTTGGATACAAAGCTAAGTTTGTTCGCGGGTTCTTTATCAAATGAATCCGCTGAAGGAATGTCTACTGTGGAGGAGTTGTTTTCAAAAGCTTACCTAGTCGATAGTTTCCAAAACGAAATCCTTGCTATGCTTCGGAATGACATTCGCCATTCGAATAAAATTTCACTTGCCGAATGTATGGAGGATAACAATGGTCGGCTACTTTATCGAGGCGCACTCTACGTACCGAAGGACAATGACCTCCGGCTGAGACTCCTGAAAGAACATCATGACAAACCATCGGCAGGCCATCCGGGTAGGGCAAAGACCTTGGAACTCTTAAGTCGGGAGTATTATTGGCCACAAATGCGAAAGGATGCCGATCGATATGTTAGGAATTGCAATATGTGTGTCCGTAGCAAGGCACCACGTAATGCGCCTTATGGGGTACTTCGTCCCATGCCAATACCCGATGGACCATGGACAGATATCTCAATGGATTTTGTAACCGACCTTCCGGAGAGTGAGGGTTACAATGCGATTCTAGTTGTTGTTGATAGACTAACCAAAATGCGACACCTAATACCAACAACTAAAGAGGTGGATTCGAAGGAAGTAGCAAGGCTATATATCGATAACGTTTGGAAATTACATGGACTACCTGATACGGTTGTGTCCGATAGAGGAACGCAATTTGTCGCGGAATTTTGGAAGTCACTTTGCAAACGCCTGGAAATATCTCCACGATTCTCCACCGCATTTCACCCCCAAACCGATGGACAAACTGAAAGAATCAATGCCATCATGGAACAGTATCTCCGAAATTGTAACGGAGCCATTTCAACTGTCTGGTGTATGAGTACACACAGGGCCCGGTTACATGCTGAGAGTTATTGTTAGAAGCCAGTTGCACAGTGACATGCAAGTACCGGCAGTGTGGTTAGCTACCAACTGTCAGAGTAACTACATTCTGAGCGCTAGGAAGAGGATCTACTCATGGGAGCAATGACTGACGAGTTTGTGCCTCGCCAATGATTAGAAGGCTAGCCAGAGTGAAGCTCTGAGTGCTCAGCGATCCTCCACATCCTCTGAGCATTGGAAGTCCGCCAGTAGTGGAAGAGACTATGCCTGGGAAGTCTACAATAAGCGGAAGCTCTACAGCAATGATTAAGCTTACACCTGAGCGGCAGCTCATTCATGCAGGCCCCTAGTTGTGTGGCAACAAAGGCTGCAGGTGTTACAAAGGCTTTGACTAAGGGTGGTTGCCTTCGGAATCGGAAGCACTCGCTGACGCTTAGAGAGAAGCGGGGTAGCGATGGTATTGCTTCCCTTCCACTAGGAGGCAGCACCGGAACTTAGTAAGGAAGTAGGAGCAGAGAATAGAATCCTTTGGAGTATAAGTACTCAGGATCATTCCCGCCCAACTGACCTGATCCTCATCTTCGAGCAGACCATTATCGGTAGCAGAGCCCTTAAAGATTATTGAGTTCTAGCGATAGTATCTTTGAATAAATCTGCACCTGATTTCTATCTTGCACGGCCGCGTCTATTCTATTGGATTCTAGCGATACATAGATAGGCTGCCCCCGTTACAGAAATTATGTTTATTACCAACAAGATGATTGGGTCTGGCTATTGGCAATGGCCGAGTTCGCCACCAATAATCATACTTCGGAAACAACAAAAGTCTCTCCTTTCTATGCCAACTCGGGAAGGAATCCCAGGATGACTTTTGGTCCCTTGGAACACGGTAAAACGACAGCGGAAGACCAAGCCAATAGTATCGCAAAGGAGATGAAGGATATGGTGGAGTTTCTGAAGAGCGAAATGTTTCGGGCGCAAAGGAAACAAGAGGAGTCGGCTAACCTAAATCGTTCTCCTGCCCCTCGTTATCGTATAGGAGACAAAGTTTTCTTGTCAACCCGCCATATTCTAACAAAGCGACCCTCCAAGAAGTTTGATTGGAAACGGATTGGTCCTTACAGCATCAAACGAATCGTCAACCCC